GTCGCTGATAGCTTTCAACTTCAATATTCCATTCTTGACAGAGACCTAGTCCTAACCAACATTTCTCTTTCATCTTCAAATTGATCTCGGAGGGCTTTCAAATCATGGAAGTTCATGCTAGGATCCTGCAGCCTCTTTTGAATACGGTCAATGCAAATGATTACTTTGTTCCAAAATCCTAGCAAAGTCAGAAAATTGTAACTCAGCATGCAGTTATACAGCTGCCTTGAATCACTTCTGGTTTCACTGGTCTCATTTTCATTGTCTGTCATGTCCTGGAGAACTTGAAGTGTTTCCTCAAGGTAGTTGTTGATGGGCTTCACTACTTCTGTCCTTGTATTCCACCTGGTTTTGGACTCCAACTTAACAACCACAGGCACAGAGTTTTTGAATTTTTTCCAGCATTGTGTTGAACGAGAGAAGAACACAGAGAGTGTTTTGATGGCTCCAAAAACGTGACCATCAGTGTATCCTGCTTGGCTGCATGTAAACCCACCAAGTTGAGTAAGAGATGATTGCAATTCACAGACACTGCCAGGTTGTTTTTCTCACTTATTTTTTGATGAACACTACTTCTGTGTCCAGCCATCACAGCAGTGCTGTCATAGCATTGTGATTGACAATCTTGTAGCTCCATTTGGTCCTCTAGCTGTTTCAAGCTCTCAGCATCCTTCTGGCTTATCTGGATAAAACCAAGGAAAGACTCTCTAACACGGTTTGTTTTCCTCTCAAAATCAGTTTCCACGTACCTCATTACTTCTGACTTCTACTTACAGTGTGCCTGATCAGGAGTCGAATCGAACATGAGACCATAGTATGTCTTGGCTTTACGAATGCTTCTCAGTAAACTCTGGTGAACAGTAGATGGCATCATGTGGATGAATTTGTTCTGGACACCTGGTGAAAGATAGGTTGTGGATCCAGGATTAATTTTTACACACGTGAAGTGTTCTTTCATGACAGGGTCAAAGATGGCTCGTAGTTTCAGTAAGCCAGGAAATTTCCTACATGGGAGTCATCATCCAGCTGAAGTGACTCCTTGTGATCTCGCAGTGCCAGGTTCTGAGTCACAAGGAATTTTATGCAGTGAAGGTTTCTCATCAAGATATCACACCACTTCTGCTTTTCCTTCTCAATCTGTGCCTGAAGTTCTGTGTCAATAACTCCTCTGTTTTCAGTGTAATCTCTTTGAATTTCTTTCCACTGTGTAAAGCACTCCTGATGATTCTTAGCATTTTCATGAACACTAACCCTTTCAGGTGCTTTTCACTAGTTGAATCCAATTTTATGCTTCAGTGAGGATTGATGGTCTGACTGGGAATAGAGAAGACAACAGATACAAAATGCAGACTTTTTAGAAGGGGAATAGACCAGCCATGTTTCAAGGCTCTTTGACACCATTCAGTTCACTAGGTTCAGTGTAGTCAGGTTCAATCTCGTCAGGTAAAATCTCGTCAATCAATTCAACATCACCACCACCACCACCATCGTCTTTCCCTGCTGTTGTGTTCATGTTCTCACTGGCAGCCTCACTTTTAATCTCATCATATTCAGATTTATTTGACTTGATTTCCTCCTTGGTTTGTGATGCATTTGTATTTGATCCATCTTTGGATTCTAACAAACTTGTAGCAGGTCCAGGTGACTCTATGGAATATGTCGAACGTCTTGTTCCAGGATTTTCAAAGAAGGGAATGAAGAAGTTTCTCAACCTCTTGGCTTTTCCCCTCCAACATTCATCTCTTCTACCCTTCAGCTCCACTTTTTCTTTCTTTGCGAAGAAATGTCTCATGGTCTTCTTACACAATGCTCTGAAATAAGAGAATGACACTTAGAAAGAACATTAAATTTCACAGATTTTCACAAAATTCTAGACTACCTTTCTGGATTGGCACTGGTACTGTGGCACTGAGCAATGGTACTGTGAGGTATGTGGTCATGTAGCTCCCTGCACTCTATTTTTGACTAATAATTTATATAAGTGGTTTAGCAATATAGCCATCTTAGTGCTTCTCACCCATGATAATCAAAGACAGATCATACATCAGAAGAAAATTCTTTTTTCTTAATCCAAGGATGGCTTGGCTTGCCGTACCTGCCATACCTTAGGTAAGCCACTATCCCAACCCTTCCTTCAGAGAGCAGGCACTGTTCTTCATGCCTCCAGGACTCAAATCTGGGTAACTGTTTTCCCTGAATTCCTTCATAAATGTTACAAGTCAGTTGTATGGCAAATTTTTTTTAATTATTAATACTGATAGAGGTTAAGGATCAAAGTGTAAGATTATGAGTGATGAAAACACTGGTGAGAAAGCTATTGTAAGACTGTAAACTAAATTACTTTTTTGAGTTCTTGAACTGTATCATATAATGCAATACCTATAATATCATCTGATATCACCTATTGTCTTGTAATGTAAAAACTAGTACCTATAAACTTACTAGACTATGATCCTAAATAAATTTTTCTTACTGTCATGTACAGTGATATGCCCTTGTAGTTTTGAGTTAGGCTTAAGCTTACCTGAAATGTTCTGCATAGCCTTTGGCTTTCAGCATGCACTCCAGTATCATCCACTTCTGTATAAACATTGTATTATGTTTCAATAAACTTTTATTTTTATTGTATTAAATGTTGAGATGGTATTGCTAAGTAGAATCCATGTTTGAGGAAAGACAAAAAAAAAAAAAAAAAGTAAGTTGAAGGAGTAGAGCATAAAGGGCTGAGTTAGTATGGTAATGTGAGAGCCCTGTTGGAAGAAAGAAAATTAAAAAAGAATGGAAAATAAGGTAAGGAAAATGATGAAATAAAATCATGCTCCTGGTGTAGGTCTTAGAGTAGTTGTAGGCAAGGGCAGATCTACTTTGAAACTAATGAAGTTTAAGCTTCTGGGCCCCGAATCTGGGAAGGGCCCCAGAAGCTACTTTAGTCCACATTGCTTAAAAATTTGGGTCTACTGTATGAGAAGGGTTTTGTAAATAATAATAATAAAGTGTAATGCAATACAAACTAATAGTTAAAATAAAAATTAAAAGGTTATTTAAGTATCATGTAGGTTAGCTGTTGCTGGCTGTAAAGGTGACCCCATAAGAGCCTGGTGGCCTGGTGGCTAAAGCTCCCGCTTCACACACGGAGGGCCCGGGTTCGATTCCCTGCGGGTGGAAACATTTTTCGACACGTTTCCTTACACCTGTTGTCCTGTTCACCTAGCAGCAAATAGGTACCTGGGTGTTAGTCGACTGGTGTGGGTCGCATCCTGGGGGACAAGATTAAGGACCCCAATGGAAATAAGTTAGACAGTCCTCGATGACGCACTGACTGACTTGGGTTATCCTGGGTGGCTAACCCTCCGGGGTTAAAAATCCGAACGAAATCTTATCTTATCTTAAGCTTAGGGCTCCAAAAAGGTAGGTCTGCCACTGGTTGTAGATCGTGTATTGGAATTGATTTATGGGATAGGATATCAAAATGAATGGAGATGTAATCTTCATCAGGCAAATCAGATAAATATAATGTTGAATTACTCTGATTGTTGAGTATGAAAACTTATTTCAACTGTGGGTGAGAAAGTCTCTCGAGACCACATATTGCTATATATAATTATGATGTAGGTGGTATAAGTTGTGGGAAGGATAATGAAAAAGTACACAGATTTATGGCTAAATGTAAATATGACTGGGGATCATTGCCCCTGCAGTCCAGTCTTGGAGCAGGTAACCAGGTTCATGGGCTGGCCAGTCAGATTCTTCCTGTTATCTGCATGCATTCCAGCATAGCACCACAGCTAACTAATCAGAGTTTTCTGTATATGTATGTGAGGGGAGGGTATTGAAAAACCTTGGATCTTTTATGTTTAGTGTGATACCAAGCCTCCACATATTGTGGTTTGAACTTTGTGATGGAAATTAATTATAATGAAAGTTGCTTGCACTTGTACACATTGTACTGATATGTGTAGGAGCCCTACAAGATTATTGCCTAGCCAGTATACAGTCAAACCCAAAAATTTGCATGCTTTTATTTAAATAGGATTATACGGTCAGGAGGCCAGCCATGTTCTTCTCAGATCTCTTAGTATTGTTCATTTTGGTGCCTGCTGCACCACTTATATTCACGTAGTGCCAGCATTGTCTGAAGCACTCGTTACTACTACATTTCACCTGTGTGCCAGCAGTATCAAAAGTATTAGTCACTAGTAATTACAATTGCCAGAGTACCACTCTATCCCTTGTGCTGTCAAATCCCTGTATGAGGATTCAAGCTCTTATGGCTGGGTTCCTGTTTATTTGGTACAGAATCTGTCCTACAAACACAAAATATTGTCAAATAACATCCTGTTCTTTGAGAACATGGGCTGATGCATGACCATATGACATCAAGACCCTACTTCTTATAACGATCAGCTATTTATATTGTTTGTGTACAGTCAAACAAGGCCATAATTGTGTACAGTATTTCAGGCAGAACTAAGCTATAACTAAAACATAGTTGTGCCTGAATGACTGTTCATCATTGTCTCATTAGATTGTATATACAGTACAACTTGTAAACTTATAACATAATCATATGTATTTCTAGGAAGTAGTTTATTTACTGTACATTGTTTCAATAGAGTAATTAATAATTTGTATCTGTAGGAGTGGAGCTAAGCTTGTGGTCTATCTTCAACATTCTATTATGTTGCTCAAGTTTTCAATGATAGTTTCACATACTAGCTCTTCTTGCAACCTGTTATATTGTTCTATCACTGTTTGCAGAGAACCTTCTGTTAACCTTTCTGGACCTCTTCCTTTTCAGTTATAGTTCTGGCTTCTTGTTCTCCCCATTTCTACTTCATATTTGGTTTATCTGTTATAGTTTTGGAATTAAAGGATTACCAGAAAAGGTTTTTCATAATTGGACTGCAGTATAATTATACTTTATTTGAGGAGCAGATAGTGCTTTAGTGAAGACACATGATGTAGCACAGTGAATGACAACCTCTACCCACTGTTTTCAGAGTGAGCCAAGATATGTTCCACTTAAACTACAAGATGCACAAGAAAAAAGCTCTGATGGAGAGTCTGATGACTCTTCTATTAAGTCCGTCCGCTTTAGCAAGTTAACAGAGGTATGTATCTATGCTTACTTTAACCCTTAAATGGTCCAAACGTATATATACGTTTTTTTCAACATCTGAAAGTATGGATAAAAAATGTAGATCATCTTTTTTGTTTTACATTTGCAAACGTGTAAAAAAAACTTTTATCTACATTTTTTTTTGTTATATTTGAAAATATGTAAAAAAAGTAGATCTACTTTTGTAGCACTACGAATTTGAACGTTGATCTGTTTGGACCGTTTAAGGGTTAAAGAGATAGCAATATTTAGGAAAGGTAAAGAATCTGACACAGAGTGGGAGTTGTCACTCTTGCTTTTTGCTGATGACACTGTGTTTTTCGGAGATTCTGAAGAGAAGGTTCAGAAGTTGGTGGGTGAATTTGGAAGGGTTTGCAAAAGAAGGAAATAAAAGTGAACATAGGAAAGAGCAAGGTGATGAGGATAATAAATTTAGACAGTGTTAAGATAGGATATCAGATCGGAGGGAGGGAGTATGGAGGAAGTGAATGTGTTCAGGTATTTGGGAGTGGACTTGTCAGCAGATTGGTCTATGAAAGACGAGGTGAATCACAGAACTGATGAGGAAAAAAGGTGAGTGATGCACTGAAGAGTCTGTGGAGACAAAGAACATTATCCATGAAAGCAAAGAGAGGAGTGTGAGAGTATAGTGGTACAATGCTCTTATATAGGCATGAAGCATGGGTGGTGAATGTACAACAAGGAGAGGGCTGGAGGCAGTGGAGATGTTATGTTTGGGGGCAATGTGTGGTGTAAATATAATACAGGGAATTCATGGTTGGAGAGTAGGAGGAGGTGCAGGGTTGCCAGTGTTTTCCATTTTCTGGTCATCCTGTCTTGGTGAGAGACAGCCGATATGTCAAAAAGTACTCATAATTTTGTTTATAACAGAGTAGTTAGTTTTGTTTCCCGATGGGTTTACCTGACAATCCCAAACTTGTCTGTATACTAAAATGGTTCTGTCATATTTCAGTTTCATTTTCATGAGAATAAAGTGTCTCATAAGAGGGTGGTTATTATTTTTCTTTAATTGATTAGAGACATGTATTAGCTTTTATGTGGGATCCCTGCTTTTAAAGCATTGAGTTGAGTCCAGAATTTACTATACTACTTACCTGGCCCATGGTTGAGCTCCCGGAGTAGGAAAACTCTGGTAACTCATCAAAGGCATATCCTTGCATATGTTATATTTTTTTTTGCCCAGTCCATGTATAAATTAAGATTGTGGAATGAGCAAGACTGTAAAATGAGTTTAAAGGTAACTATTATTGCTGGTAGACATGTTGCATTTCCTAGAGCATTGATTTATTAAGTTCATTATAATTGTAGGTTCGGCAGATGTCAGAAACCGAAGCAGTCGATGCTATGATGTCTCGCTTGTCATTCTCCGCTTCTGTTCATGCTGAGCAGTTGGCTATGCAGGCAGCGAACAAATTATCCATTAAAGAAGTCATGAAAATTTCAAGTATATTTTGCTTGCTGGTAAGTATGTGGTATTTAGACAGGATCCTTTATTGTTCTTATTAAGGTTTTTTTTATAATGTTTTCATTTTTGTTTTTTTACCACATTCATTGTTAATGTTTAGATGTCACATTATTATTACTGTAGTAGGTTTTCTAGTTTTTGTTTTTAGGGGATTCTGGTGTTGAGTTATTAAGCTATACCAGACAGCAAGACTTTATAACATTTTATTACTACCCTCTGAAGAATCTTCCTTTGTTGGAAAAGGTAATGAGTTTTGTTAGTTCATTAGTTTTTATTGTATTGTATTGTATGTATTAAGCATCTCCACTGAGTAATCTGTTAGAGTAATCAGTGATTCATTGCTCTCAATATTAGTAATACATAGTGTAATTGCCTCTAGTGGTGGGTATCATTTGTCTTGCTCTCTTATTCTTCACCATTATCTAGAACATACTGGAGTTTGGAAATTGCAGGCCCAGGAACCTCTCCATTAACAGTAGAATTTCCTTTATCCGAAATGGTTGGAACCAAACACATATTGAAAGCTAAGTTGAAAAGATAATGGGTGTTGTTTTGAAGTGTGGGATATCTGATCAGCTATTTGTTCATAATTACAACATATGCAAAATAACCACAACATACTGGCTAGGAAAAAGGAGAGGGAAAGAAGGACAGGTTAGCTTTTGAGGATGGTGTACAGTATTTTTGGTTAATGAAATGGAGGTAGGAGCCCTGGATTTTTCCATTTGTTGGGTGTTTTTGGTTAGCAGATTTTCGGATAAAAGAGATTTTACTGTAATGTGAATTCTCTGTAATTTGGCTACTCTGGGCTTTGTTTCAGAATGACATCTCGAGAACACCTCAGTTAAGCAGGGGTGTTGCTAAATTTTGAAGCAGCCGAGGAGAGATAGTAGAAGGTGATCAGCATGTTTGACTAGTGTTTGATTTTTGTTGAATTCAAAAGTGTAATTAATTGAACCAGTATTTTCATGCATTAAGTGGTTTGTTTTACAGTTACTAGTTTTACCAGTTATTTTGTGTTGGTTGGCTTTAAAGGTATAACTTTGAAAAGAAATGATAAATCGATGAAGATAGCCTGATGTTTAACAAAATTTTGATGGGAAAATAGCCACTGTGCCAATACTTCAAATTAATTACAATTTGTATTGAGATTGTGCCATGCACTTAATTTTTGTGTTTCTTGGAAGGAATTTGTGTGCACTATGCTGTTAATTTTCATGTAAGGGAGATTTTTAATTGTGACTTGGTACCTTATTGAGCCACGTTTCCTTCAAGTAATTTTAATTGTTATGCTTGCATAGCATATGGAAGGGGGCACACTGATTGTAACTTACTGATCCATTAATATTTCTATCAACTCATGTTAGCAGGTTTGTGTAAAAGGCTTGTATGTGCGCTTCTTCGGAGTAATTTATTTTTCCTAGCTTATAGGTTTTGGGAATATAATTAAAATTTTAGTGTAATATGAGGGAATTGGGGAGATTTTATCTTAATAGTGCCTCAACTGGATTCTTGAATTCATAAATGCCATTGGCCTGTAATTGCACAAAGTGCTGTAGTTTTAGGATATTGTAATCTCTTCTAATATCTAGCTCTTGAGCTTCTTTCATCTCCAGCTTGGATACTGTTGCTTTAACCCCTTGACTGTCGCAACCCCCAATCCTGAGGTGTCTCCTGGTGTCGCAAAATTTAAAAAAAAAAAAAAAATATTTTTTCTTATGAAATGATAGAGAATCTTTTCCCGATTGTAATGACCCAAAAAAAAAAAACGAAATTTGTTGGAAAAACTGACGGAATTATGCTCTCGCGAAGTTAGCGACCTCGGCAATATTTACAAATCGGTGATTTCGACCACTTTGAGCCCTATTTTCGGCTAATTCCATTGTTCTAGTCGACCAAACTCATAGCTATTTCTTTAGAACTACATTTTTTCTATCGATTGAGTACAAGAAACTGCCCATTTACCGATTTCAACTACCCAATAACTTGGTCAGAAATTTGCAATTTGGCCAATTTCACGAAAATTAAAAAATATGACAATATCAAAATAAGGGCCAGAATGAACAATGCAGACTTTTTCCTTTGCTCTAAAAAAACATTTTCTTTGTTCATCAGTCTTGTCTCCAGGCCCTGTGATATTACTCTTGCTTTCTTTTTTGAATTTTTATTCAAACAAAAAATAGAAGATTTACTGTTATGCAGACTACTGCAATACTGTAATAATTGTATAAATAACATCAACCCATTCATGACTGCATATTAGAATGGCTAGTTGGACATTTATTGGACAATGACATCATTTGTTTTACTTTTGAACACAGAAAAAAATCAAACATTTCCTGTACTTTGGCTCCATTTCCAGGTTCCTTTTTTAGTAAAATCAATCAAAATCACCTCTATTTCTATAATATATTTTCCATTCTATCAAGTGAGACCAAGAAAACGAGAATACAACCATAAATACTATACGAAAATAGACCACAAAGTCGGCATTTTAATTAAAAAAAACAGTGTGAGTTTTTTTTCTCATTATGCACTGCGTGCTCCAGGATTTTTTTTATATGGTGCACACTGACCACACAGACCCATTCTCTCACATGTGGGCCTACCAGCTTTCTCCTGCTTGATTTGAAGCCGCTAGAATTTATGAGTATATACATGTACTGTATACGTCAAACACCGTACCTCGTAAGACCTATATATACGGCCGCGACAGTCAAAGGGTTAATATCATTGCTACTTCTCTCCTTCCACTGTACTCCATGTTTTGGTTCTGCTATCCAGTTTGTAACAATTGCTTTATCCCTGTCAGCATTTTTCTGTGCTGAGCTCCAGGCTTTCAGAATTTCCTGTCTAATTTTCCTCTTTATCATGCCAGCAAAAAACTTACTCTCATCAATTTTATCAGCTTTTTCTTTCACATTCTTATGTCTTTACTCCAGCTCTTGATCTGTCATTCCTGCCTTTCATGCTCCATGACATCCCTTTCAACTCCCTTCCTTCCAATACTTTACCATGGTGGTGGGATTTTAATAAGTTGGGTGTCTGACTGAAAACTCAACACCCAATTTTTCAATCTAAATAATGGTGAGATTTCCTCTTTCATCAGAATTTGCCATGATTTATATCTTATGACTGAACAAGCTATGATTATATTATAAATACAGTAGGGCCCCACTTATATGGCAGGTTAGGTTCCAAGCTAATGCTGTAAAGTGGAAATCGCCATGAAGCGGAATGCCATTTTTTCAACTGATAAAGGCATATAAATGCCAGATAACAAGTTTACACTAACATATATTAAGCTAACAGTAGAACTAGGCATTAAAAAAATACAAAGTAGAGTCATTACTTACCTTAAAGTATTTGTAGTCTTAATGTAGGGTGAGAAGTGAGTAGTAGTTATTGTAGGAAGTCAGGTGTGGTAGGTATGGTAGCCTGACTGGCTACCACACCTACATGTAATGTACAATATTTAAAGTGGCCCAGACTCATTAATTACCTTAAAGTATGTATAGTCTTATTGTAGGGTGAGATGTGAGTATTTATTGTAGAAAGTCAGATGTGGTAGCTCCTACACCAGCTACTGTACCTACACGAAATATATGAATTAAATTTAAAGCCCCCCCCCCCCCCGAGAGATTATTATTATATTATTATTATTATTATTATTACCATTGACATACCTTGTTCACTGAGCTTGATCATTTCTAACAGCTACCTTTAGATGCCATCATAAACGAGAGATAATGAGTAAATGAGAGAGATGATGCTGAGAATTGTAAACAAACAGACGAAGGCATAAGGGGAGTCATTTGGTCAGCCGCATATTAATGCCTGTCTACTTTTGGTTTGAACAAGTACATTACCATGAGTTGGTGAAGCATTTACGCCACAGTGCAAACATTTACATTGTGTACAAATTGTCTTCACATTAGTGCAGTAGAATAAATAAATAGCTATGAGTGAAGGCATACAAAAGGAATAATTTTCTACAGTTACCCCAGTAATACTATAGTGTACACATTTTCTCTGGTGTTGGACTAGAGAAAACGCAATTCTTGATGATCCCTCGTGTTCATACAGTACATTTCATAATACAATGGAACCCCGAGTTTCGAATGTATCGACTATTGAACGCTTTAAGTTTCGACTGCTTTTTTCAAACCAATTTTGTCCTGACTATCGAACGTGCCGTGTCTTTCGAACCGCCGGGTACCGGACCTGTCCGCCTGCCTGCTCTGTCCACGTCCCCACGCAGGCATCATGAGCCAGTCTGGCTTTGCTGATGCTCTAGTGAACACTAACCTGCTCGCTCATTCAAACATTTCACTATTCATTGTGTTAGGTGCTTGTGCGGCTGTGAAATAAGCTACCATGGGCCCAAAGAAACTTGCTAGTAGTACCCCTGTGGTAAAGAAAGTGAGAAACAATAGTTGTGAAAAAGGAAATAATACAAAAATATGAGTGGTATGCGACTTGTTGAGCTTGCCAGATGTACGGGAAAAACAAGTCAACCATCGCTTCTATCCTGGCAAAGAAAGAACAAATCAAGGAAGCTGATGTTGCAAAAGGTGTTATGCTAACCAAAAATAGACCACAGACAGTCGATCATGTTGAGAAGTTGTTGCTGGTGTGGATCAAGGATAAAGCTATGGTGGGTGATAGTATTTCTGAAACAATTATATTTGTGAAAAGGCAAGGCAGTTGCATGCTGATCTTGTAAAGAACCAGTGCTGACAGTGAATTTAAGGCTAGCAGAGGCTGGTTTGACAGATTTAAGAAGCGTAGTGGCATACACAATGTTATAAGGCATGGTGAGGCAGCCAGTTCAGACAAACGGGCTGCTAAAAAATTTGTGCATGAATTTAAAGGGTACGTAGACACTGAAAAATTAAAACCCCAATAAGTGTTCAGTTGTGTTGAAACAGGCCTGTTTTGGAAGAAAATACCTAAGAGGACCTACATTACTCAGGAGGAAAAGGCGCTTCCAGGA